CAACATTGTTGCAACAAAGTATCTATGGTGTGCAAAGGGTTAACAGAAATGCACTCCTGTAGAGCAAATACAGTATCCGTGTAGGAATAATGAAATAAATATTGTTATCTTGTGTCCAGAATTACCTGCCAGTTAACAAACGTACTCCAGAAAACTTCGCCAAACATTTCAACGATGTAGGACTTGACAAGCTGGTAGCTTTCATGGTATGTATCACTTTTAATGTTCAGTTGTTGTATTTCTGTAATATTCAAATGATATCACGTAGATAACGTACTTGTCGAGCATTGTGACAGAAATAGAACGCAGGGAGTCGTCACCTACGCATGCGTCAGATGGCGTTAGCGTGTCATTGTTTATAAAAAAGCGTCTACCCATGAACCTTTGCGTTTTTAGCGCACGTTACCCCTGTATTGAGTCTCAATTCCTGCGCATGCACAGGTGACGACCCTCCCGCTTTAAGTCAACTTTGTGATATTGCATTTTTATTGAAAGTGAATTACTTGTCATGGGTAATTTTTTTATGAATATTCAATACGCAGTATTGGCCAATTTGCCTAACAATATAGTATGTTGATGACTTATGTTGTGTTCATTGTTATGCTAAATGTTTTTTATTGTTCATCCAAAACTTAACAGTTGGGAACCTCTACTCTATAAGGCTCTGGGGTGAACCCTGATTTTCAAATCAGACAAATCAAGTGGCTCTGCAGAATGTAATATTAGGTCATCACGAGGATGCCGCAAAGTATGCACAAAGGCAGTACAGCACGAGTATTGACTGAGGTGCAGGGGAGGTTGATGTAACCATGTACTGTCTGAGTGCATACTTTTTGGTATCCTTGTAATAACCTTATTATTATACACCTTTTCCTCCCAAGGATTCATCATGGGAATGCCGAAGTACAAAAAGATTGGAACAGATTGAGCGAACTATATTGTGTGTGGTCAGGTCAAACTTCAAATAAATTACCCGAGTGTCTGCCATGTTTGTTTTAATTATTAGAGGACGCTTACGTGCGTAATCTGTCCATATTTGGAATTCGCATTTTCTAATATGTTAGGATGTAAATACTGCAAAATTATGGCACGCTGTAACTTGTGACGTTAATGTGACAGATGTATAATAATTACTTTTATTGTCTGTTTCAGAGAATTCAGCGAAATGTTGAGTGCAAAAAAGAACTTCAAAATGAAGTGTCTGAAATGATTCGTAATCAAGACTCCGTCAGAGAGGTAGGATGATTGTTTTGTTGTCTTGACATCAGAGTATAAATAAATTCTTGTAAAATACTTTATTTTCACTTTGGAATTATTTTGGTTATAGTCTGAAAGACTAATTTACCTATGCATGTTGATACAGGATTACTTGTGTAGTATTTCTCATTACTCTACAAGTCCAGTTGACATGCTATAATAATAATATATCATCTCGAACCATTGTCAAGCTTTGTGTACAGTGAGCTTAACACACTGATACAGATGATACATTGCCTTTTGATGTTTGTAGACGTTGGAATCAATTCAGTGAAACCACTATTTTTCGTTTCAGATTGGTGTTCATTGTAAAGAACAGATGAAACTGAACAATTTAGAAGAATTTGAAGTGACTGTTCTGGTGAGTTGTACCATGTGTAAACTGTAGATTCTACGCTGCACACCCGGCACTGTGACGCTGTGCACCCGGCACTGTGACGCTGTGCACCCGGCACTGTGACGCTGTGCACCCGGCACTGTGACGCTGTGCACCCGGCACTGTGACGCTGTGCACCCGGCACTGTGACGCTGTGCACCCGGCACTGTGACGCTGTGCACCCGGCACTGTGACGCTGTGCACCCGGCACTGTGACGCTGTGCACCCGGCACTGTGACGCTGTGCACCCGGCACTGTGACGCTGTGCACCCGGCACTGTGACGCTGTGCACCCGGCACTGTGACGCTGTGCACCCGGCACTGTGACGCTGTGCACCCGGCACTGTGACGCTGTGCACCCGGCACTGTGACGCTGTGCACCCGGCACTGTGACGCTGTGCACCCGGCACTGTGACGCTGTGCACCCGGCACTGTGACGCTGTGCACCCGGCACTGTGACGCTGTGCACCCGGCACTGTGACGCTGTGCACCCGGCACTGTGACGCTGTGCACCCGGCACTGTGACGCTGTGCACCCGGCACTGTGACGCTGTGCACCCGGCACTGTGACGCTGTGCACCCGGCACTGTGACGCTGTGCACCCGGCACCGTGACGCTGTGCACCCTGCGCTGTGATACATACGCTGCACCAACAGTTTTGACAACACAATAATAATGTCACAAGACTATTTTTACCGCCTACCACCATTTCGTTTGCACAAGTTCCTCTGAATTCACTCTTTGCAGACGCAGTAATTTGGAACATTGTATCATTGTTATCCATAATTTTAACTTTTAGTGTGTTTACGAACATTACTAATATAAGACTTGTTTATGCAGAGTACCCTGCACAATTTAGATGGCGAGCTAAGTAAGCTTTAAGCCAGCTTGAAAAACTAACTACTGTAGAATACTTTATTTTCGCTTGGAATTTATTTTCGCTGAAGGGATGATTCCGTGAAAATAAAATCTAGCGAATATACTTTTTTTCCTATATTTCACATTGAACTCATGAAAAATCAGTGAAAATAAATTCCAAGCAAAACACCCAAAAAGCCTTTTCAGCGAAAATTAATTCCAGCGAAAATAAAGTATTCCACAGTAAATGTTAAGTTATGCTTAAACCTTACTGTACTGGTCAGTAAATATGCAACAATTGTCCCAGATTTCTGAAACTAATGCTGAACATGTACATCTAAATTAAGTTTTCAGACTTTTGTGGTGTCCGCTCGCTGAATTCTGTTTGACAATCAAAAATACACTTTATCACAAAATCAAACTTTTACCATTAAGAGTGATCTTTGATGTTCACTTCAGTTGTTTCTGTATGATTTTCATTTCAATCGAATCAACTGAAGTGCTCGGTGATTGTCGGCAAGGCAGATAGATACCTTGCTATCACCATAGCTGCTACATTTATTAGTATGCATTACTTAAAGGGAGGTGGTCGTCGCGTGTTTGAATTTTATGTGAACAATGTATTTTACATACATTGTGTACCTCGCTATGAGTCCAACGACACGGAGCGACGACCACCGCCCTTTAACATACCAAAGGCTTTAAGAAAACTTTTTCCATCATACAAATAA